AGTAGTAGTAGTGGTAGTAGTAGTGCCGATCGTGCCTTCCTTCCCTTCGGCGCGAGATGCCAAAAGACATGCGAAGACAAGTCACCACGCAGGTTCGACACTGCATGGATCATGAATCGTTCTGTGCTTTGCTGTTTCTTTCACCAGAAATTCTACTTGACCGCTGTCGTTCTTGCCTGTGTCAGTTTGAGGTGATCCCGGTCCAATGCGCTCCTCCTACACATCGGGCAAGGGTGCAACAGGCAAAGGTGGCAAAAGAGCCGACACCCCGCAGAGTCTTGCCTTACTGGCGTTTTACGAAAAGCTTCGATGCTGTTTTGCAGCCATCCGTCAGTAAAGACGCTGGCCCAAGCAAAGGACGGAGGACGGGGACAGTCGCAAAGTTCGCCGGTGGGGCACCTTGGACATATTCGGAGTACAAGCTTGTGAAGTGTGACACCGCCCGTAGGGAAGCACTCTTGGACTCATATGCTTGACGTCAACACTAGCAGCTCGACAAGTTGAAGGTGGCACAAGGGTATCGCATCACGGCTGTAGCTCCGAGATATTCGAGCTGAGCATGTGCCTCGCTTCGCGGCAGGCAAAAAACTGGGTGACACTGTGGCCGGTGGCTGAAGACAAGGTGGCAGAACTTTCAGGGTTCTGCTTGGAACTCGATCCTCGGCAGTTCGAAACCTTCCACATACTCGTTTGCCGTGCGGTGCTGCAGCGACGAGTCAACCCTGTAGTGCCGAGACCTCACTAGACCTCCCAAGCTACATCAAGCTACAGAGCTATCTCGCGAAAGCTCCCGGCATACGAAGACGCAGAGCTAGCTGCTAGCTTTGCCTAGCTATGGGCTGTGGGGCCTGGAGTGTCTTCAGACTGGGCAGGCCCCCCACTCATGAAAGGATGTACTTCGTAACTGTCCAGAAGCGACCTGCTGACTGTTAAATAACTATAACTGTTTTCTGGCAAAAGTTCCGTGCACATGCTCTTCCTGACTGAAGCCGAGTCTGCTGGCAGCGATAGCGGTAGGCTTCAGCTCTACGCAGGTTGACAGCATGGCATGGCGCTAGCCATAACTCGTGAATTCGTCACGGCCTGGCATGTCGGCAAATCGTTTGAAGCCGCTTTTCATAAGTTACTAGCACTATGCGACGTTTGAATGCAATACGTACTACATTACTAGCTTGAAAAACATTGCTCCTTTTTACGGCCTGCTATTTCATTGTGGGTCTGCTTGATAGGCAGACATCAGTATGTGTGCTGCCGGTAATACAATCGAATCTGTGGAAATCGTTGAACCGGTTTTAAGTGTCGCCCACCTTTGACCGCCTCATCATGCCACCACATTCCCCTGGACGTGTCTGCTAAAGCCCGAAAAAACAACACTTGCAGCCAGCCAGTGTTGGGTTGGCGGCAAAAGGTTTTGTTTCATTGATCTGACAGCCATGCTTGCCGATGTTCGCGCAGGCCGGCGGAGGGCCACTGCTCGCCGCGCTTTCGTCAGTCTGGTGGCTCCTGCAGTGCTCTGAATCTTCGGCCGCACCTGTGGACGAAACACGGTCGCCAGCCCTGAGAGACCCGTCAGAAGCGTGTCGTTGTCCAGGCACACACTGGACTGCAAGCCAGCATTTCTGGATGTTGGCCAAGACTTTGTTCATGCTACACCGTAAATCCGCTTCAGATCGCGTGCCTTGTCAGCCTAGGGCACTGTCCAGTGAGACAACATCCAGGCCAGAGGATGCGACAGCAGCACCATGCGATGCGACAGATCCACCAACACAGTGCAACCATATTCAGGACGGCTAAGCTTTTTGTGGCACTTTTGCATAGCCACTTTGCTTTGCTTCGCATGCTTCTTTGCTTGAAGACTACGCCGAGTTGGAAGAAACAGCATGTAGGGAATGTAGGATGCTTTCTTCATTCGTTGCCGGCCGACGGTGATTGGTGCCTTGACATCCGGACAAGAAGTTTCTTTGCCAGCAGGTGGCCTCTTGACAAGCTGGGATGCCTACTTTGGCACACCTGTCCGTCCAGGACTGCCAGCTGCCCGGACCAGAAGCTCCAAGATGTCACAGTAGAAGAAGTGGAAGTCCGTGCAAAGAGTCAGGCTTCGAACAGCCTCCTGGCTGCCGGTCAGCAGCCCCGGAAGTTAAGAGCATGTGTGCAGATGTTGAGATAGCAAAGTGCCCGGAAGGGTGGACTGCAAAGAATCAGTCGCCACGATTGAACCTTTCGAAACATGTTTTGTACAAAGAGCGTTTTCATATTTCCTGCGTTGTCCGCAGCCTCCTTCCATTGGCCATGTTCAGGAGGGTACTGCAGAACCCAATGCACCGAAGTGTCCTCTAGTCACCAGCCTGATGGCTGTTAGCTGTTATGGTTTGCAAATTGCGCAATGGGTCTTGTACACCACCTGAGGCTGGATGGACAAAGAACCCAGCATGGCCAGCAAATTTTCGCATGAGCTTTCAAGTTTCATGACCTTGGATGGCATTGGTTGGTGATGGCCACTAAGTCTGAAGGAGACGATGTCTGGCCATCTCTAAGCCGTTTCCTTTGCTTGTGCTTACGGTTTCCATCCCATGTACAGGTACGTCACAGCAGGTTGACAGGGCACCATCAGATGCCTGCCCCGCAGAAAGCCACATCACGGTAGGCGAGGGCGTAAGCCCTGGGTCTAGTGACTGCTGGTCTGATGTCCTTAAAACATGGCCTTCTGCCAGCGGCTTTCTTCATGTTCAAGCTCGTGCTTGCGGGCATGGGGTTTGCGCATCTTGAGTCTCTGTGCCATGGTCTCGGCTCCGGGCTTCACCAAGGCAGGCACAGCCCGGGGGTTCCGGAAGTTCGCTGAATCCTGACCACGGCTTTCTCAACCGGGTCCGAATGTTTCCCTGTGAGGGGCCGGCCTGGCCCAAACCAGCACTGCGCCCGGCACGCCAGGTCTGCAAGGCCCGGGTTTTCTTCGGCTAATGCAACCGCAGCACTGCAGCATGTTCTTGGTATCACTCCTGTTATTTCGCACGTGTTCGGTGCATGGTTGCAGGGGCTTCAGGATAGACGCGGTGGCGGAGGGGCGGGGGCTAACGGATTAACGTCAATTCGCATTGCGAACATGCCCGAGACGCAGGGATTTTCAGGGCTTGGCTACAGCGATGTAATTGACAAGGTTAACTGAGATGTTCAGTGTGTTTGGCATTTTGGACATTGCGGCCCCATGATGTCTGATCTTGTGCAAAGCCGGGAACAGTTTCTGCAGTTGTCGCAGCACAGTCGGTGAACGTTTGGGCAGTCGGATGCTTAAGAACGTGCTCAACACCGCTGTAAAACACAAGTAGTCCTCTATTCGCCTTCTCGAGGATCGTGATGAGCTCCCTATTCAAAAACGCGCTGAAAGCGCAATTTCGCGCTTTTTAGACCCTGAATCACTGAACTATGGGGAAATCTCACATGCAATACCCAAGCAAGCGACAGTTGTTGGTGTTCGCGAGCCCATTGCAAGGCGCAGGTGGGAGATGGACCTTCCATGGACGTTCCTCTGTCCTATGCCTTGTGGCCAGTCGCGGTCCGTACCCTGACTGCCAAATGTGTCGACGTCCGAAGCATCGAGCATGCAGATGTGACATGAGTAAACTACCTTGGGGGCTTTTCCGGCATCCGGACTGCAAGGGGGTTCTGTTGACAGTCCACCCAGTTGGGCAGCAGGAGTTTGGACCGGTGTAGGTGTAGCTCACAGATACTGAAATACCTGAGCTTCAATGGATTTTCATGCTGTGTTGAGAGCTGGTTTCAGGCTTGGCAAGCATTCGAAAGGCTGTGAAAGGACAGAAAGCCGGGGCCTCGAACATCAGTTGGACGAGGTCTTGGGGAGGGTGACAAGTCAAAAGTTGAGTTGTCTGGGTGTGTGCAAAGGTAGCCAGGAAGCAGCTTCAGCGCAACTTGCAAAGGGCGCAGCAAGAAGGCCATGCGGTTCAAGACGCTTGCAGCGGCCAAGAGATGCTGGGCGGAGCTGTGTCGACACACTGGTGCAAGACACGAGAGGAGATCCACCAGATGCAGGCCAGGTTGAGCTCCAGGACAGGAGCTCGCTCGCCCGGCCAAGAAAAACCTGAAGTTCTCATAGCTCGAGGAGCTCGAGGACATCGACGACTTGGAAGAGATGGACGAGGCCGCATGCGTCCTGTTGTCATCCTATAGTTTGCCATGCTGTAGTTTTACTGTGACAGTCCCAGACAAGGCATCGCAACAAGCAAGTCATAAGATGTTGGGATCGGGGGCAACAGGATGTGGAAGACTTCGTGGATCTAGACGATGCCGAACTCGCGAGATCCGCCACCTCACTTGAGGCGCATGGAACACACAGTGCCTATATCTTACTTGCAAAGATACATGTATGACCAAGCCTTGTGTATCTTGCATGTCGCAGGGCCAGAGCTTCTTCCAGGAGCCCGCGTTAAGTTCGTTTCTTGTCAAGTCAGACTTCGGCAAGAAGGATGTGTCTGCAAGACAGGAAGGCGACCTGGACCAGGAGCTGCGCATGGCAGCGCAGATGTTGCCCGAAGAGGGGATCTTCGATCAGGTGCCGGGCACACTTTCACTAAGCCTGCAGCCAGGAGCTGGCTCGCAGCCCCCAAGTCAATTTCACGAAGCCCAGCGAAGTCTTGACAACACAAAGCCTAGCTTAGCTACTGCGACTTGCCAATGAACTCAGTCACTCAGTCATCACCTTCCCATTGCCGCACAGAGCCTGCTGCCGGAGGCTGGCAAAAGCCTCAGTCGCGCAGCTGTGGTCGAGGCTTTGCTGAGTCAGTCGTCGAGGCAGGGAATCAGGAGTTAGGTTAAGGAAGGTCGGGCCAGGTCGGGTAACACAATTCAGCAACGAAAGACGCTACCCGCTACCCGATTGCAAGTCGCCTGTGCGAAGAAGAGGGCACGCCGAACCAGAATGGACAGCAAGGAGCAGTGCTGTCCTCCCCCCTACATGTATATGCATGTGAGCTAAGAAATATGTATACCACGTATGGCATACGTGTACACACATATGTATATACATATATATATATATACATACACGTATATATATATATATATAGATATTTACTTATACATGCATACCCGCCCATGCAAGCATGCATGTATGCGTACGCACATACCTGCACCGATGTCCAGGCTACGAGTTTGCACCGTCAGAAGATTGCCTTGAGCCGACCTGGCAGGTCCTGGACATGTGACGTAGAACGGAAGCCTGCCATCCTCGAGGATCGTCTGTTATTTGAGAGACTTGAGATCTCGTTTGCTAGGTAGTTGCGAAGACAGGACCGACCAAATCCTGACGGCAGCTTTGTCGCGGTGCCGGTGCCTCAGAGATCTCGTTATATGTTATTGGAGTGTAGACTTTGTTGTTGTCGAGTTTGAGCAGTAATTCGACTCAAGACTGCCAGGCTGGCGCATGGATTGGAGAGTGTGGTCGAACTGCGCGGCAGGCACAGAGATGGCGATGTGGCAAGCAGGGTTAAGGCGGTTCAGGCTTCAGACGGAACGCGAAAGCCTTGCGGCCAAGTGAGTCTTTGTAACTTCTTCCAAATCCAGGTCCGAGACTCTGAACCTGAACAATAAGACCAGTCCATCCAGTCCTCGACGTGGAGTGTGCGTAACGGCATGTCTGAACTGGGACACCCGGTCTTTGCACGAGAGTATGCGAGATGACCCCGCAGAAGTCCACCAGAGCTCGGCATGGTGGTGCATGTGCATGAGATGCATTGAGCCTTATCGAGCCTTACCGGTTGAAGTAACAAGAGACCTGCCTCGTGTCGCAAGTGAGCGGTAAACTGTTAAAGGATGCTTCCAAGGTTCACTCGACTGAAGAAGCCGTCGTTCTGTTCTTCCCTGACAGTCCCAATGCGACTCCCTCGAAGCCAAAACGCCGTTCTTATTGAGACCTGATGACGAAGTAACTCCTTAGATAGATTTAGCCTTTGCCACGTGAGCAGCGACCCATTCTGAAAGCAGGTTGGTCCCCCTGTCCGCCCTGCCGGCAAAACAGCGCCGAGCGCTCCGACGCGTTGTGCAGCCGGGCGATTCTCGACAAGAACACTATTTCAGAATACCAAGGTTATCAGCATGCACCCCTAGTCTTGAGAAACCACGTATTAAGCAGCAATGATGACTGCTTCTGCTGCTACGGCTACTGCTGCCCATGCCACAACGACTGCTGCTTGCTACTGCTACTGCTACTCCTACTACTCCTACTACTCCTACTACTACTACTACTACTACTACTACTACTACTACTTTGTCACCTACTACTACTACTACTACTACTACTACTACTACTACTAGTACTACTACTACTACTACTACTACTACTACTACTAGTACTACCCCGTGCTGTCGACGACGTGCCAAGTGGGTGACAAAAACTAGCCACCCCCTCTACCAACTGCACTTCGTGATTGTCATCAACATCATCACCACCAACATCACGAAAAAGCACACACATTTCATCACCTTTCATCACCAACATCACCAAAAGTATTGTACATACCGAGTAAAAGCGGGTTGTGTGCTCACGAAAAAGCAAACACATTACATCACCAATATCACCAAAAATCGAACACATTTCATCACCTTTCATCATCAGCATCACCAACAGTACGGTAAATACCGGGTAGAAGCGGGGTTGTGTGCGAAAGTACTGTAAGTAACGAGGAAAAGCTTTCCCCCACCCAATTTCGAGTTTTCGCTGCAAGCCGTTCGAGACACCAAAGTTTAAGACGCACAGTCCACAAGTAACAATGGCTCTTGTGGTGATATTGTTGGTTGTGTTTGCGTAACCCGGTCGTCATCATCCCCCGCCCCCACCTCCTCACCCCAACCCCAAGAAGCAAGTCCAAAATTAAGAGGCCGAGTTTGCAAACTCAGCAAGTCGATGTTGAGGCTTCTCATGATGATCGTACATGACGAAAGTGCTGCAAATACCGAGTAAAACGGGTGTTCTCTTAAGATGGTTTAGAGCAAGTGTAGTTGGTAGGGGGCTACTACTACTACTACTACTACTACTACTAGTACTACTACTACTACTACTACTACTACCACTACTACTACTACTACTACTACTACTACTGCTACTACTATCTACTACTACTACTCTTACTACTGCTGCTACTACTACTGCTTCTACTTACTACTTACTACGTACTACTACTTACTACGTACTACTTACTACTTACTACTTACTACTCACTACTCACTACTCACTACTTACTACTCACTACGTACTACGTACTACTACTACTACTACTACTACTACTACTACTACTGCTACTACTACTTCTTCTACTACTACTACTACTACTACTACTACTACCACTCTTACCACCAGTGCTTCTACTTCGCCTGCTGCTGCTGCTTCTGCTAAAGCCACTTTACTGCCACCATCACAACGATGACGACGAGGACGACTGGCAATCTAGGACTACGACTGCGACTCCGACGACGCCTACAGTCTGCGTACATTCTGCCGATAGAAAACGAAGAAGTTCATGAACTGTGGCGCTGCTTCGCCGTGGATTTCGGTGGTGTTGATTGTTTGAGTACTAGCTTTTGTGCTTGCTCTGAAAATGGCCAGAAGATAGTCCTGCCCTGCCAGAATAGCCTCAAGAAAGCTGGGGGCCAATTAGCAACCTGCTCCAATCCAGGGTCCAGCTGACCTCGTTTTTGTTGAACTTCGGCTCGACAGTAGGAATCATTTCGGAACATGAATGGCGGGGCAGAGGCAAAGGCAGAAGACGAAGAATCGACATTTTTACTGCCGTCTGAACATACAGGAACGAAGAAAATTGCTGCATCAACTAACGTCGAAACAACATATCATGATATGGTGAGCATGAAGCCTTCAGATGCAACGAGACTTCCAACACTGCCCATGGCAAGAGTGCACACGCGACAAGATACGTAGATGCTTGCGAGCTTGCTTGATGTCCACACTCTGCCTGACGAAGGAGGTAAACTGGAAGGCATTGCCGCCGTTTGTCCCAGCTCATGAAGACAAGCGCTTGGAGAGATTGGCAGCCGGGATTTGCACCACCAGCCTTACGTGCAATTGTTGCCCTTGGCTATCTCGAACACAGTGTCTCGAGGCTTCGGGACTAAATAACCTGCATAAATCATAATCGCCTACCAAGGCTTTGGACAGCGATTGCCGATACTTTTCCAGCACATCCTCTCTGACAGGCATCATGCCTGCAAAGGTTTTTTGCTGGGAGACCTCAGTCTGCTTTGAGCGATGAATCCGACGCAGGGCTTCTGTCGCGGTGCTACTTCGCAATATCGCAGCACCGCCAGTTCGACCCTTGTGGCCTCAGCAAAGGATACCGCAGCAGGCAGGATACTTTACATCATGAGAGGATGTCCATGCAGGCATGCACAGCTGACGACGTAGACACAAAAAGACGGTCACACAGAGGGAGAGAGAGAGACGGACTGTGGCAGCTTGAGCCTCTGACCTGTGGGAACTGATTTTCTGTGGACCGGGAGAAGTCGTGGACCCGCAACTGCAAAGAGCGCTGCCAGACTTCCGCCCAGAAGCAGGAGAGAGTTTCACTTCAACGGACATGTGGACTCTCAGGCATGTGCTGCTGCATGGCACGCAGGGCCAACGCTGAAAGACATTAACCGACAGCAGTGCTGCTACTGTATTAATTGAGAAGGGCGAGAATCGCCCCTGGGCGCTCGCAGAACGCCACAATCCGGGCCGAAGAGTGGGGGAGCAAGTGTTGCCGCGCACCTCCCCTCAGGCTGCATGAGAACCCAACCACATCATGTGCCTATCTACGATGCCGGAGGTCAGCTCTCAGAGATGTTCGGGGAGGGTAGCTACGCAGCCGCCTTGCGGCCTTCATACGCACACTTATTCTTCATTTGGCCACGCTGATGAGCTCATGCCGCCCGAATAGCACAAGAAGACCTAGCTGAGTGCATCGTTTCTTGAGCTGTTTGCAAGTGGCTCTTGATCAAGAGGTCGACAGAAGGTCGATCGCTTCTTGTTTGTTTGTCCTTGCTGTGCTCAGTCGGAAGGCCGAGAAGCTTCAGCCCCAGCACTCGATGGCCGGCAGCAGCCTGCCTCGAGTTGCGAACGGAGCATCTTCGGATGGGGTTTCACCCTGCGCCTTCGGATTCAGGGATTGCTTTCAGGTCTCATATCTTCGCCGAGCCTCTGGCTCATTGTGGTCCCTGACTGCAGCGAAAGAGGACCCTGAGGCCGGAGGCTGTGGTCTGCGGGTTCCCAGCTGTGCCCCAGTTCTTCTCGACTCGACTTGGCTTCCTTGGCCACGGTTTCCTTGTGCGAAGACCACCTTGTTGAGTAAGCTTGAAACCACGAAAGCAATTGATGGACAAAGCCGAGTGCTCAAGAAGCTCAACCGGTGTGTGTGTGTGTGTGTCTCTCTGTGTGTGTGTGTGTGCGACCAGAGGACAAGACGGTGCTGCTGGATTTGGGGAAGCAACCCGGCAAGAGAATCAGCAGAGATAGGCATCAAACACCAAACAGGGATCAACAAAACATCAAGCACTGATCAAATGTTGTAAACTAAAGGAACTACTAATAACAGTAGTAATAATACTACATGTGCTACTACGACGACCAGCGCCACTCCGACGACACTTGCTACTGCTGTTACTACTAACTACCACTCAAGAGTACCAGTACAATTGACAGCAACAACTACTACTACACTATACTTCTTCAACTGCAACAGCGACGACGACGACGACGACGACTACTACTACTACGGGTTGATGATCCGAGTTTTGGCTATCTGTAGTATACCTGTCGGAAAAATCATATCTTGATTGTCTGCTGATCTCTGTTTGACTTTGTTTGTTTGTTACAAAGTCAAAGCTTTAAGTTTGGTTTAAGATTCCTGTTCTGTTCTGAGCTCAATCAGGCAGTTCTATATGCGGGTATGGGGATCGTCTTGAGGCTACGAAGGTTCCAGCTGGCACGAGCCATCTGTGCGTGCAAGCCAGCAGAGGTCGATGGAATACCAGCTCACGATGTCGAAGAACGATTTCGATGAGCGATTCCTGAAGACAGGAGGTACAAGCACCGAAGTGTCCTCCACAGAGCAGAAGAAGGACAACCAGGCCTACAGCGGCTCAGCCGGATGTCTTCGGGGCGCCCCCACGCAGACAGAGTATTCGAGTCTTCATCCGAGGATTCTTGAAGGTGGGCCGGCTAATGATGCGTTCACAGCTGGATGCCATCTACCAGGGCTTTGTTTTCGAGCCTGGGCAGCAAGGCGGGTGCTTCTGCTTTTGTTCCGAAAAATGAAGTGACCAGGATTGTGTCGCCTCTCGCAGGCGAAATTTGGCGAGCTTTTAGTCTGCTTGCCTCGATACCGTTTGCAGAGCAGCAGCCAAGGATGTCAAGACCCGTGCTGTGAGTGCGGTGAGGCATGATGCGCAGAGTCCTGGACTGATTTTGTGTTATGTCTTGTACTGATAGCTGTTTAACTTGGGGGGTTCCCCAAACACGTTTCAAGAGCACCTCTAAACTTCAGAAACGCTACGACCTGTCAGCGATATACCCTCATGCATTCGGGCCAAGAAACACACAGTTTCCACACCGCTTGGGGCCGAACACGGCAGTGTTTCCACATGCTTTTGGGCCAAGAAACACA